GAGATTTTAAAAGTTTCAAAGCTGAAATAGTGAACTTTTTTTTACCTGATGTTCTGCATGAATGTTATCCCCAGTAGGCCATCGATGTTTGCTATTATTATAGCCGCCTCCACCGCTGCCTCCTCCCCCAAGCTGCTCACCATGCTGCCTCTGAAAGAAGTAGTCCACCATAGCGTCGTCTTGGGAACGGCCTGCAACTCCTATGGATCCTGGGACAGGGCTGGAGTGTGTCCCAGCTGCAAGAGCCTGATTTGCAGCTGGTTGTGGCTGCGCTTGCGACCCTGTTCCAGATGTCAAAACAACAGGCATGTTGGGATTAGCTGGTTCTTGAGGGTGATGTTTCAGGTGGGGGCTGAAAGAGTCCTGCCAAAGCACTGCTTTTCTCTTCAAGACACATGCAACGCTCATTCCACCAACACCTAAGGACAAAGAGGTTACAAATCTTTAAAATTTGCGTTTTTTAAAACATAACTTGATATATACCAAGACAAAAATATGAGCCCCATGTCTTTTGCAATACCACATCTACAACCAATTTCTACCAAGTAACTAAACGTTTTATAATATATACACAATTTTCCAAACTGAAACCTCTATTGTTAAGTTGCTGAATATGTGCAGGTGTGGAAATAAACGTAGTTGGTTGGTGGCAGGCAATATGACAAGGTACTGAGATCAGAATTCAATACAGCAACTTCAGGAAACCTTATGTTGTTACCAAACCTAATAATATAGAATTGGACTTCAATCAAAGGCCCCTCTACCCAACTTATTTACACCTTAAGCCAATTTTGCAGATACTTCTGAAATGAACAAGAGCTCTATAAAATATCACTTTACAAGTAGAGCAGACATAAGCCAATAAACCAAACAAAAATCCAAACTCCATATATAATTAGCAATGACTCACTGTCTAAAACTTGTAAAGATCCTTTAAAATGCACAACATATTCATAGGATGCTCCTTGAAGAAAGAGTAAGGCCCCCTGACCAAAAACAGCAACCGAATGTTCTTAGCCTGAACCTTTTTCTTTTTAGCCACTGGTGGGGGGGGGGGGAGGCGGGGAGTGTCAAAATTTTTACCAATAATTTACAATTGTAATCACATCATTATTCCATTATAAACAGGATGAGACCAACCAAGTTCAGTTTACTAGTGTAGAAAGCCTCACTGTAAAAAAAGACACTTCAATAACAATTGTGTGGCAAATATACTAGACAATATCTTATCAGTCCTACTTTAGAAATGAAAATGCTTAGCTGGCTCAGACTGTGGAGCTTGCGACTCTTGATCTCGGGGTTTGGGCTGGAGCTCCAAGTTGGATGTGAAAATTACTTAAAAAATAAAATCTTTAAAAAATAACAAACAAACAAATCTGTTTTGCACCCAAGCTTAGTTCTTTTTATATCAACCCCTTGCTACTCCCCTGCTACTCCCCAGTAAATCAACACAGATACTATTTCTCTCACTTGCACCCATTACTCTTCTCTGGAACAAAGAATCTTCAAAATGTTACTATGAAACATTACTATTTAAATTTCTTAAAATCAAAAACTACATTTGTACATAATATAGAACATCTGTCAGCCTGTGGGTGCTTTAAAAATTGCTACAAAGTAATTAATCAGTTACCTATTAAGACTACACCTGTCTATACTCCTGGAGTCTAAATTTCAAGGCTATCAATTTAACAGTCCACTGCTACAAATGCCTTCTCTCTCTCTACCAAGCCCTACTGTAACATTTCAAAAACAGATTCATAAGATTTATGAGAAATCTATTAAATTATTTCTTTATAGAATTAAGCCTCCTGATAAAGAATTGCTTCTCACAATTCACGTTCTGAAGCCAGAAGACACAATGGAATCTGTAATTTATTCAAAGCCTAATTTGGAAATGCCTAGTTTCAGTTAACAATTCCAATCCATCAGAATCTTACTAGAGTAGTGGGTAGTCTAGCTTTCTAGGCTACAGTTTCTGCTTTCATGAATAGAATCATGTTCATGCTTAAGTACCAAAACCAAAAAGTCATAGCTGTGTTTACCATAGGCCTTTGCAAAGTGCCAAGCAGCCTAATAACCTCCCGTTTCATTTTCAAAAGAATTAATTGCCCTTTTTTATGGAAGTATAACTGACACATAACATTGTATTAGTTTTCATGAGTGCAACATAATGACTGGATATTTGTATACACTTGAAATGATCACAATAAGTCTATTTACCATCCATCACACCATACAGTCATTACCCTCTTATTACCAATAGTAGCCAGTCCCATTTTCTTCCAAGAGGGACTATCCAATGTAACCGTCTGTTCTAGAGCAAGCCAGGAATCCCAAAACCTAAGTTTTACCACTAACCCAGCAACCTCTCTGAGCCTGTTTCCCCACCTAGAAAATAGAAGAAATGCTTTCTCTAGGTCTCACTAGTTTTTTTTTAATCAAAATAAAATGATATAAAACTTTTTGGTAACTTTAAAGTCACCACGCTGAGACCCCAGGCATTTAGTTACCACCAGTTAAGGCAATGAAGCTCCAGTCCCTAAGAGGGTTCCTAAAATAGCAAATGCAATCTTCACTGAAATAAAAGATATGCCACAATACTTATCTAACAAAGAATTTCCATATGAAAAAGGTTTACCTCTGAAACTCACAGAACACTACTACAGTCTAACAAGGGGTTGTGGAGGGGGGAGGAGTTCCCATAAAAAAGTTCAAACAAAACAATTGGCTTTTGTAAAGCTATCTGGATGCCCTAAGACTTCCTGCTTTACCTAATGAGGCAAGGCAGTTTCTCAAACAAGAGAAAACCTGGCAGAAGGGACAGTTCTGAAAGTGAGCAAATACCTAAGCAATTAACATGGGTCTTGGGCAGTTGTGTAATATCTTGGCAACTGCAGCACAAAAATTAAGAAATCAGTCACTTAAATCACAAAACATTTAAATTGCTGATGCCTTTTAGAGAACTCTCGTAGCCCACTAAAAGGTTATGTGTAGCATTTGAAATGTGACTTCTTTACAAATAGCACATTATAAAAATATTTTAAGCAACCAGAAATAAGTGCTGATTCTAGTTACTCCTCCGAAGTTTTCAAACTGTACATCAAAGTGGGGTTTTTTTTTTTGGAATATCACTAACAGATTTTATTTCAAGCAAAGGAGCATGGTTTAATCTCTCCACCACTCACCTTTTTTTTTTTTTTTAACTAAAATGCTTAGTTTAAAAGGTGTGGGTTTTTTTTGTTTTTTTTTTTTTGCCACACTGAAAAAAAAAAATCTCTGTGGTCATAAATTTACTTTAAAGCAGTTCATCTCAAACCCAAACTAAACTTCAAACCCAACTTCAAAAAGCTGTGGCCTTGGACAAAATGAATTCAATTGTGGCTAAGGCGAAATACGAATTCAAAGTTCAAAATCCAGTATTTCCCAAAGATCCAGATAAACAATCAACAGCCCCAAAGAGTGTTTTATAAAGTTAAAATTAGCAATGAGTCAAAATGTTTATTTTGTTTACGAAAAGTGCTTTGGGAGCCAGGTATCTTGGCTTGTTTCGGTGAGTTTTTATGTGTTTCTTAAAACAAACAAAAAGCTAAAGCTACAAGCCTATTGTTTCGATAGTAACTGACTTTAAAACAGAACCCAAAAAAAACCCTCCATAAACTCTCATTCTTAATCCCAGGAAGAACAGGAAGTGAACGGATTGGGTATCCACAATTAAAAAGTGTTTTCTCAATTAGACAATGAAGAGTAACAATTCCTCAAGTTATGGGGAGGATAAAACCTTCCATAATGCGCTCTCTCGCTCGCTTGCTCGCTCGCTCTCTCGTGTGTGTGTGTACACGCGCGCGTCGGGGGGTATGGGGGGGGCTCTAGCGGGGGGAAAAAGTTACAGGAGCTTATTTCTCACTTAACGTGGGAGTGGTACTGACAAGTATTAACAAACGATGTCTGTTTACCAAGAACGTCTGTGAGGACTAAAACTATCTGGTACTGCGTACCTGTTTTCCTACTACCGAGGGGTGAGCCCCTCTTTGAGTTAAGACAGACACTCACCAACACAGGGAGGCTCAAAGAGGAAGAACCCACCAAAACCCAAGCTCTCACGGAAACAAAAGGCCACAAGCACCCAGGAGACTAAAAAGCGATCTGAAACTTCCTGATCGCCACTTCTCCACATTTAAGGCTCGCAAAGTTCCCCCATGGTGGGTCTCGCCTGTAGACAAGGGCCAAGGCTGTTCCTAAAGCGATTTATTGTTCCTCCTGCTTCGGCGCTGCCACGGAAGCTCAAGAAGTCGAAGAAATCCAGGGTGGCCCAGAATTACACTTCATGGCCACACAGAAGACTCGCGGCTTCGCAAACCCATCAAAAAAGCAACCCGAATGGCAACATCAATCTTCGGGGGCTCCAACGGGGCCGAGCCGAAATGTACAGGCACGTCTATGCCCTGGGCCCGGGCCTAAACCCTCGGCATTTTCCTCGCTTCGACCCCGCTCCCCACCCCCTCCCTCCTTTGATAACAATAGGGGCCTTGCTGCTGACTCCAAAACATGTACGAGGAACAGCGAGTGAAAAGCCTCAACCAGGGCCCCGGGCGGCTTTTCTAAAGCCCTTCTCACCCCCACAACCGCTCTCAAACACCAATACAAAGGGACAATCTGCTCGCTGGGGGTCCGGAGCAGCGTTTGGGGCCGGCGGGGTGCGGATACTCACGGGCGGAGCGGTAGGATGAAGATGGATTTCAGCCCCCCGATCTTCTCTCTCCGGCGCTCTCGCTCCCCCTTACCTTTCACTCCGACAACATGGCGGCCCACTGGGGACGGGGCTGGCGCGGTGCATCCTGGGATAGGCTCTGGCCCCGGCTCCGGCGGTGGCAGCGGCATGTGCGGAGAAGGCAGGCGGCTCTGGAACAGGTTGCCTGGTTGCCATGCCAACCCAGGGCCTGTGTGAACTTGGGAAACTCGCAGGCAACACAACCGCTGCGCGCGCGAGTGCCCGCCCGCTAGGCGAGCGCGCGCCGTCGCGAACAGAAGGCGGGGTCCTGCACCCGCACAGGAGCGCCCGCGGTGCTCGCGGGGCCCGGCCACGCGCGGCACGGAGCAGGGCCGGGGGGCCGGACAGGGGCGCCTCGCCGGCTGGCTAGGGACGAGAGACGCAGCACCGCCCGGCCCCGCGCGCTCCCAGCTTTACCGCCAGATTGCACCAGCCCACGGGGTTAAGGGACGCTTGCTTACTCGCTCGGCTCGGGCTGGACAGGTGCTGGCTTCTAACCCCTTTGCTGCAGCTTTCTGGCTCTGGGGCCTTATTTAATCTTCCTGCCTCCATCGCCCCATTTGGAGAATGAAGAGGAAAATGAGAACGGCTACTCAACAGAATTGCCGTGAAGATTAAGTTAAATAATGTGGCTTGTTATTCCTTTTAAAGATGTCCAGCGCTTGGTACAGTGCCTGTAAACGGGACCAATGCATAATTTTCAGGGTTCCGTGCAACGTGAAGGTGCGGAGCCCCTTGTTCAAAATTGTTAAGGAATTTCAAAACTGCTGTAGCAGAACAGTAAACTAAAACCAAAGACATAAAGCCGACCCTGTTTGTAAGCACTCAACCAGTGTTCGCCATTGTCATACTGTCCAGTTTCAAAGAGGAATAGAAATTTGGCCATCTGATGCAAGTGACCTTTCAAATCAGTAGTATTTGTTAAGATATTGCTATTCTATCTCCAAGTAAGCCCAAGATGGATTTGAAAACTTAGGCAAACCCCAATACTACAAAAGACCAGAAGGGGATCTGGGGGGAAACTTTACAATAATTGGAGGAGGCAAAAACGTTTATAATGAATGAAAATTAATTAGTTATTTTTATTAAAATTAAAAGATATTTAAACATCTGTCAGGAAGAGATGCCACCAACAAAGTAGAACAAATGAGAAAATAAGCTTTAAAATATTGCGATATGCATGGTAAACAGATGGTTAATCTTCATGATAAATACAGAACGTCTCTAATCAATTTAAAAAAAAGAGTAATCCAAAATAAACAGACATAAAATCACTAGTGGCCAATAAACACATAAAGATAACTAGCCTGGGGCTGATGGGAGGAGGAGTAGGGGAATGGGGAAGGACAGCTAGTGGGTATAGGTTTCTTTCCCGGCTGTTAAAAAGTTTCAAAGTTAGATTGTAATGATGGTTGCACAACTCTGAGAATACTGTGTGCTAAAAACCACTGAATGATGTACTTTCAATGGGGAAAGTTTATGGCATGTGAAATATATCTCAAAGAAGCTGTAAAAAATGGGAAAATAATAAAAGAAACACAGCTTTGAAATATATTTTCATCTATTAATACACTGGCAAAAATATAAATGATTGTTAACATTCTGTCGTGGCAAGTTTTGTGAGAAAATCAGCACTCATGTTGTTTAAGTTGTTTGAGTATATATTTTATTTTTTAAAAAGAATGTTATTTTTAATTTAAAAATTAAAGTGAGATTTTCAGGGCGCCTGGGTGGCTCAGTTGGTTAAGCGTCTGCCTTTGGCTCAGGTCATGATCCAGGGTCCTGGGATCGAGCCCCGCATTAGGCTCCCTGCTGGGCGGGAGGCCTACTTCTCCCTCTCCCACTCCCCCTGCTTGTGTTTCCTCTCTCGCTGTCTCTCTGTCAAATGAATAAATAAAATCTTTTTTTTTAAAAAAAGTGAGATTTTCATTTCTGAAAAAGAAGGCAAGGCACAAAAGTTAGAGGTCCTGAGCTCTGCTACTTCCTGGCTATGTGGCCTCGGGTAGGTCCCTTCAGCCCCCTCATCTACAAAATAAGATGTCAATACTCTTCTCACAGGGTGGTTACAACAGTTTAATGAATTAACATATACAAAGTGCCTGACACAGAATTAACACTCAATAAATGTAGCTGTTTTATTGTAGTTGTAGTCTTGTACTCATTTCTGAATCCCCAGAGACCAACATAGTGCAGGGCATATGGTCATTGCTCACTAAATATTTGTTAAATGAATGAATTCAACAGCCATTTGGAGTGTCAACTCTCAAATTCAACAGCCCTAAAAGTAATATGTTGTGTTCAGAGATCCAGCTCTTAAGCCAGACAAGAAATTACTTAACCTCTCTAAGTCTCCATTTTCTCCCATGAAACATAAGGTTAATATAACAGCACTAAATGAAACAAAGCAGATAAAACATTTAGTCCCATGGGGCCAAGACAGTGTGTGCTGAGTAGCCATAAGAGAAAAGCATGTTAGAGGAAGAAACATAGTAGACATGACAAAATTACAAAGTTTCCAGAATCTTACGAGATTCTGTGCTCCATGATTTCATCCTAAGATCCACAACTAACTCTGACTAACTCCTTAGCTTTAAGCCTTAGCTTTTATTAGTCAGCCATAAAGATTCAAATATCTGTGCAGCCACCGCCATGTGCTACCATGCCACACCCAGGCCCCAGTCAAATGTTGCAATCTCAACAGAATACTAGCTACCCATCCCTGATTTCCCTTAATTGCCCTCAAAGGACCTGAGGGTCCTGTCCAGCCCCAAAACAACCCTAGCAGAGCATCACCTTCCAACAAATTCATGAGACAATGCTCACTTATGTGCCATGTACTATGCTAAGATTTTTATATTCATTATTTCATTTCAAACTCCCCAAATACCTGACATGGACAACATAATTATTCCCATTTTAAAAATGAGAAAATTGAGGCTCCTGGAGGTTAAGGAACCAGATTAGCATATATCCAAACGTGTCATCTAGGGCTATTTGCTGAGAGTTGTCTGGTCAGCAGGATGTCGAAATCATCCCCAAAACTTGGGACTCTCCACGATTCATCTGGTTAAACCCCTCTACAATAGATAATATAACCAATCTCTGGAAGCTTTCAAAGAAACCAAGTCTAAGGGTACCTGGGTAGCTCAGTCGGTTAACCATCTGCCTTCGGCTCAGGTCATGATCTCCAGTCGGGCTCCCTGCTCAGCGGGGAGTCTGCTTCTCCCTCTCCCTCTGTCTCTCCCCCGCTTCTGCTCTCTCTCTCTCAAATGAATAAATAAAATCTTTAAAAAAAACAAAAACAAAAAAACAAGTCTGATCAAGCTGGCCTTGGGTGAAGATTAGGGTAGATTTGAGAAGGGTACTTTGGTCTAATCAGTAGAAACCTAATCCATTCCATTGTAACCTAATCAGAGAAAGAGATCTCAAGACAGAAATGTTTAGTGAAGGCCATTTAAGAAAGACTTGGTTCAAGGATTTCAAACAGTTGCCTCTTCCTTCATAAGGTAGTGGTTCTCAAAGTATGGGCTGAGGCTCACTGGTGAGTCAGCCAACCTGGCCAAGCTGACAGCTGAGAACAAATTCCAGAATGAGCAAATGCTTTTCAATTCCACAGACCTTTATTCTCTCTCACAGCCAACTGCTATGCGCTAGTAAACGTTGCTATAATACGGTATTTGTAAACTGAATATAAAGCATTCTCAAGCAGAGTTGGGATATTCCCGATTTTCAGGAAACATAATTTGTTAGCAGTGTTGGTTTGAGTTGCTTTTTTAAACTTGTGTTACACTTGTGTTTTTGTATATTTGTGGAATCTCCCTTAGGTGGCACTTCCTCTCATTGTTTTGGGGCTTGGGTAATGGTTACAATGTTAATATTTCCATTGTCATTTTGTTTCTTATCAAATCTTGGCTATTACAGCACTTTTTCCATAAGAAAGAGGGAGGGTTGGTTTGGGATTCCAGTATGAGTGACTAGGTAATTCTGACGAACTCTCCCCCTGAGGAAAACTAGTAAAATTGGAAAAATAAAAAAATCTCTTCTTGAAATCATTGGAAAGCTAACAAGTTAGTGAATTACTGAGCCAGGATCTGGGAAGAAAGAAATTAAGGAATGTAAGACCCACATTTAGGACTACTATTCCAGGTGGGGCATTTCCTGAGAGGTAGCTAAGAGACAGAGTGGTGCTTTTAGCAGCCTTGGGGAGTTAGAAGGGCAGAGACTGCAGTCCAGAACTCACTGAGAGAGGAAGCACCTAGTAAATAACTATCATTTTGGATTGGGATCCCAAAGGACTCCACTTTAAAGACTTATTTACTATATGAGAGAGAGCGTGCATACATGTGGGGGGGGGGAAGGGAGAGAGAGAGAATCTCAAGCAGACTCCCCGCTGAGCATGGAGCCCCATGCAGGGCTCGATCTCACGCCCCTGAGATCATGAGCCGAAATCAAGAGCCAGCCACTCAACCCATTGAGCCATCCAGGCACCCTGGCTTTTGTTTTTGTTTTTATTTTTTAAGATTTTATTTATTTATTTGACAGAGAGTGAGAAAGCACAAGCAGGGGGAGCAGCAGAGGGAGAAGCAGGCTTCCCGCTGAGCAGGGAGCCCGACATGGGGCTTGATCCCAGGACTCTGGGATCATACCTGAGCTGAATGCAGACACTTAATGACTGGGCCATCCAGGCACCCCTCAAATAAATAAAAATTTTTTTTTGTAAAAATTTTATTTATTTATTTGACAGAGAGAGAGATAGTGAGAGCAGGAACACAAGCAGGGGGAGTGGGAGAGGGAGAAGCAGGCTTCCTGCTGAGCAGCGAGCCCAATGTGGGGCTCGATCCCAGGACCCTGAGATCATGCCCTGAGCCGAAGGCAGACGCTTAACAACTGAGCCACCCAGGTGCCCCAAATAAATAAAATCTTAAAAAAAAAAAAAAAAAGAGTTGTATGCTGCGCTGACTGAGCTAACCAGGTGCCCCAGAATTACAAAGCTTATTAATCCCAGAACTAAAATTTTAGACAATATGACCGTAAATAATCACAGAGGAATCCAATGGCACATGAAAAAGATACAAAAGTACGGACTTGTTAGGGAAAGATAAGGTATGAAGAGATTTTAGGAATTGATAGGAACTAAATAAACATGAGTATGGGTTTTAGGATAAAGGCAATCACCAAAAAATAAAAATAGCATTTGCAACTTTTAAACCAAAAGAAGAAAACATCATCCTGGAAATGGGGAAAAAAAAGAAAAGAAACAAAAGGGTATCTGGCTGGCTCAGTCTGTTGAGCACACAACTCTTGATCTCGAGGTAATGAGTTGGAGCCCCACATTGGGTGTAGAGATTACTTTAAAAAAAAGAGAGAGAGAGAGAGAGAGAGCACGCCTGGGTGGCTGAGTTGGTTGGGCA